TTATCTTTAATATTATGGAAAAAGTGATTTCTGAAGGCTTTATCTGTTTGGTCTAATGTTGTAAAGTGATTGGCAGTGTTAACCCAGTTACCTGCAAGTGGACTGCTGTTTGTCTGTGATGGATATTCTCTAGATTTAGTAATTCCTGCCAGCCCCACCCACTCTACCTTCGTCTGTGAGGCATGCTAAGTAATTGTGGATTTGTTTAAATATTAGCCTAAACAAAGCACAATTCAGTGGGTAGATTTACGGCAAGTAATAATCATTTTTAGTAATTCCTAAAAGAAGCTGGACGTGATGAATTTTTAGAGCACTGAGAGAAGGCAGTTTGTTAGCTGGAAGGCCACTTTTGGAACAGAAGAGATTGTTTTTTAGGAAATTTATCTATTTTAGCGAATTGCTTGTCCTGGGAAATATAAGTGTAGTTTTAAAAACTGATTATTTAGTGTGTTGAAATATTTTAAGACCATCAAAGTAAATTATGTGCACGTTTTATGAGCAGAGAGATTGAGATGGAGCAATAAGATAAAATTATAATCATTAAAACTAAACAGAAAAATGAAACACTCATTACCTTTTACTTTAAATCCAATCACTGTAACTTATCCTTTTACTTGCCCTTTGATTCAGAGAGGCAACCACTCTGAATATAATTTGGCATATTCTTTCCAGTCTTTTTTCTATGTATTTTTTGCATAGCTCCTATTGGGTCATATATAATTTTGTTTCTTGTTCTTTTTATTTAGTATAATTTTTCTGGCTTGATATTATTACATTGGATAGGTGTACCTATCATACTTAATATTTTCACTTTAAAACCCAATGATACATAACTTAAGACTTCTGAGTGTCAGGAACTGTTTCGATTCTTTTGTTCCACTGGAGTTATGTTCTGTTTTTCTTTTTTGGTGAGGAAGATCGGCCCTGACCTAACATCTGCCAATCCTCCTCTTTTTGCTGAGGAAGACCGGCCCTGGGCTAACATCCATGCCCATCTTCCTCCACTTTACATGGGACACCGCCACAGCATGGCTTGACAAGTGGTGCGTTGGTGCGCGCCCGGGATCCGAACCGGCAGACCCCGGGCCGCCACAGCAGAGCACGTGCACTTAACTACTTGCGCCACCGGGCCGGCCCTATGTTCTGGTTTTTTTGTTTGAAATAGATGTTTTCTTTGATCTTGAACATGTTTATACAAAAAGGTTCTGGTTGTAGTAATATTTGACGTAGACTGCTTTTTTTTCCTTCTCCCATTGCTTGTGTCTCATCAAATTTAGTACAATGTTAGAGGAATGTAATAGGAGGACACAACTTGGGGCTTAAAAATATTTTTAAGTTATTACATGTTCTCCCATTTGTGTCAAAATTAGGGAAGGAGATATATCTAAGAATTATTGAGTCTTTCCTTCATTTATTTACCATATTATTCTTTTTTCTTTTTCCTTTCTTTCAGTATTGTTGCTGAATTCAGACGTTTTGAGTAAATGATGTAATAATTTTTCCCTTTGGATGTCAAGCATTAAAAGTAGCCATTGCAGGGCCGGCCCCGTGGCTTAGCGGTTAAGTGTGCGCTCTCCGCTACTGGCGGTTCGGATCTCAGGCGTGCACCGACGCACCACTTCTCCGGCCATGCTGAGGCCGCGTCCCACATACAGCAACTAGAAGGATGTGCAGCTATGACATACAACTATCTACTGGGGCTTTGGGGAAAAAAAAAAGGAGGAGGATTGGTGATAGATGTTAGCTCAGAGCTGGTCTTCCTCAGCAAAAAGAGGAGGATTGGCGTGGATGTTAGCTCAGGGCTGATCTTCCTCACAAAATAAATAAATAAATAAATAAATAAGTAAATAAAACTGTTTAAAAAAAAAAAGTAGCCATTGCATAAGATACTTTTCCCCTTTTTCTTGTTACTCAAATGAAGGTAACAATATACAGAGTGTGTGGAAAGGTTAATGAAGGCCGGTGTACTAATAGTTCTCAGCTGCTAAGTTACAGAGGCTTAATATTGCTAAGGGTTGGCATTAACACTAATTAATTTGTCTATGATGCTATGAAGATACATAGTAATAGGGAATGGTATGAAGTCTAAGCATGCAACTGAGTCAGAATCATGAGGTTGGAAGTGACTTCTGGTCTTTTGTGGCTACATACAAAGTCACTTGATCACTCTGCATTTTTCCTTTATTCATTAAATAGATATCACTAGTTTGATAATTATAGCTAACATTTATCAATTTTTTTCTATATGCCAGGCTAAGTACTTTTTGCATGAACTATTAACTAATTTTTTTGAACTGGTAGTCACCATGTTAGAAAAATAATACAGCATTTTGTGTGATGAAAGCTGTTTTCGTTTGGATTTGTGGTTGGTTGCTAATGCATTGGGATATGCCTGTTTGTAAACTTTCCTGCTGTCTTATGCAAGGTGAATTGATTTTTTTCAAAATAGCAGTAGAGGCATTCTTGTAAAAAGCAGTTGTTTTGGCCTTTTTCTGTACTGTAAAATTTCAGTATGTTAGAAGTACTTCAGATGGATTTAAAATTTTTTTTATTAAAAAGACAAATGAGGGGCACCCGGTGGTGTAGTGGTTAAGTTCTCGTGCTCTGCTTCCAAGGCCCGGAGTGAGCGGGTTCAGATCCTGGGTGTGGATATATGCATCACTTATCAAGCCATGCTGTGGCAGGCGTCCCACATATTAAGTAGAGGAAGATGGGCACGGATGTTAACCCAGGGCTAATCTTCCTCACACACACAAAAAAGACAAATGAGAATAAGGGAGTTACTTGGTATACCCTCAAAGGGATCACGATTTCTGGAATTGAAAACTGTCCTGAAACCTGGAGAGAGGCAGCCAGACCTGTGGGTGTGGGTAGTCTCAACTGTGGGTCAGAGCCAGAACAGAGTTAGGAGTAATAGAAACACACTTAATCTTGGCTGCAATCTTGAAGGCTGCATTTTAGTTTTTATTGATTCATTAGCCTCAGTTCCTGAATATAAATATAATGTTGAAAGGTATGGGAATTATGTCTGTGTATCTTTTGGTGGAAAGTAGGGGTGGGGTGGGAGCATAGTTCTTAAATGTAAAAGTAAGAACGGAGGAGTCTTGCTCTTTCTTCTTTCTGGATTCCTCAGAGCCCTTTTCTACCTCATGCAGTAAACAGTAGCTACCAGTAATTTTTAAGTGTTAAGTGGAAAACTTGGTTAATGTAACAATTGGAATTTGGACAATAAAAATAACAGGAGAAATAAATAGCACAGAGAACAAGTTTCCTTCATGATTTCAAATAGTAAATATGAGATAACTCTGTATTTCTCCCTTCCAGTGGATTCTCCACCCCTCTTTTTCTCCAAAGGTTATCAGTGGTTCAGATGACCAGATGTCATTCTTTACTTTGACCTAAAGACCCTAGATATTTGCTTCTCAAAATGACTCCTTACCTTTAATGACACGGAACTCAGTGGCAGTCATGTCCTCTTTCTGACATGGATTGCACTGATGTTGTTAGATATGTAGTGACGCTAGTCTGGAGATGTCATGGGAATGAACAAATACTGGTTTTAGTTCATTTATTTATTATTAAAGGAGTTGTAGAGAACTTAGAAAAGCATATGGAAGAAATTAATGAGCCATAATTCTATTACTCATAGGTAAAATCAGTGGTGCATTTTTCCCAGTCTTTTTTCTGTGTACTGTAAAATCAGCTCTCAATTAAATTGAGTAATAGTTTGGGGGAGGGAGGGACTTCAGAAATAATCTCAGGGCCGGCCCCGTGGCTTAGCGGTTAAGGGCGCACGCTCCGCTACTGGCCGCCCGGGTTTGGATCCCGGCGCGCACCGACGCACCGCTTCTCCAGCCATGCTGAGGCCGCGTCCCACATACAGCAACTAGAAGGATGTGCACCTGTGACATACAACTATCTACTGGGGCTTTGGGGAGAAAAAGGGGAAAAAAAAAAAGGAGGATTGGCAATAGATGTTAGCTCAGAGCCGGTCTTCCTCAGCAAAAAGAGGAGGATTAGCATGGATGTTAGCTCAGGGCTGATATTCCTCACACACACAAAAAAAAGAATCTCAGATCTAGTTAAAATTATAGGCAGATCATCATCATTTGGGGTGGCTTGTAGTAGGGAATTGGGACCTCTGCTGGCCCATGGTAATTAGGCAATGGTGTTAGTACTGATAGGTATCTGCTGGAGGGATTAGGGTCATAGCTTTTTGGTTGGGTTGCTGTTGGAGCAAAGGAGGAGGTCAAAGGTTTGGACTCCTGGATTTCTCACCCTTTGCTTGAACCAGAAGATTCTCTGGGTTTGGTCAGGATAGGCATTTATTTAATCAACTGTGGCCAAATTATAGTGCCCCTAAAGTAAAAGAGTATCCCAGTCCCTGCCACCCCACAATCAACATTAGTCTAAAAACCAGATAATCTCCCAGTAATGAGAGTTCATACAGAATGTAGAGTTCTGGATCCTTTCTGTATGAAAGGGGTTTTGATTATGATTTCAGCATAATGGTAATGAATCATCTTGAAATTGGAAGAGTAGTTCAAGTTGGTATGGCTATCCTAATCAAGGAACCATTTTTTTGCTCATAATACTCAAGAGAAACAGGAGCTAGGAAGATTGGCAGTGGGTTCATTTGTGGGATAAATAGCCCAAATAATCCAATATTTAACAACTCCAGAAGTGGATTGACATTCTATTCTGTCAGTTATACAAAGGACCTTTAGAAGCTCTCTTTTGGGAAGTTTGCCTTATGTGATTCTCCGTATATAGGCTGTTTCGCTTTACATGTTTCAGTCACAGTTTATGTATTAAGTCTAATAGAAGTGTCTTATTTTTTTTTTAAATTAGAATTTCCTAGAATATATTGGATCTTTGGAAGAAGCATAACTACTTGTTTCATTATAGAAATGTGCAGCTGGAATACTAATTTATTCTTGTTACTTAATTTATAAATAAAAGTTATTACTTGTTAACTAGTTTTTTTCTTTTTTTTTTAGTTTCTCTTCAGCAACGGGTAGCAGAATTGGAAAAAATTAATGCAGAATTTTTACGTGCACAGCAGCAGCTTGAGCAAGAATTTAATCAAAAGAGAGCAAAATTTAAAGAGTTATATTTGGCTAAAGAGGGTAAGTTCATAAGTCTCCCTCTAGTCCCCATACTAAAACTGCCTTAAAATGAGAAGTTTCTTGGTAGTACAATGTTAATTTTATCACTGAATAAACCTTGATTTTATTTGTACTTGCATTGTATAATAAAGGCCGATTTAGAGGCTAGGGTTAAGAATAGAATTGAAAAACAAGTTGAAAATGCATTACTCAGATTTTGCCTTGTCTTTTGACCTTAATGATGATAAATTTAACATAGTAGGCTACCTAGTCCTGGGACACAGGACTTCCAGTGCTCTTAACATAACTCGAGAGACAGTCCCAGACAAGTCAGGACTATTGGCATTCTAATAACAGCCTTAGCCATGTTATATTTATTTATTTTATTTTTTTTCCCCCCCAAAGCCCCAGTAGATAGTTGTATGTCATAGCTGCACATCCTTCTAGTTGCTGTATGTGGGACGCGGCCTCAGGATGGACGGAGAAGTGGTGCCTCGATGCGCACCCGGGATCCGAACCCAGGCCACCAGCATTGCAGCGCGCGCACTTAACCACCAAGCCACAGGGCCGGCCCAGCCATGTTATATTAAAACTGAAATTTCATGGGATTTATCCAACAAATGTTCAGTTATTTATCAGTAAATATTTATTTAATATCTACTGTGAGGCAGACATTGTGTCTAGGTGCTGTGTGTACAGAAGGAGCAAGATTCATGTGGTTCTTTAACTCATAGAACTTGAACTCTGGTGAGGAAAATGTTAAGTAACCGTGTGAGTAGTTTAAAAAAAGGAAAGTGTACAAGGCAAATACGTGAGAGCATATCATAGGGACCTTGTCTGAAGGATAAGAGGAAGGGTTTACATTTTGGGTAATGACCTAGGAAAATATGGGTGTGGTTTCCAAAGCCTAGACCAGTGGTTTTCAAAGTGTGATTGTGGAATAGCAGCATCAGCATCTGGGAAGCTTGTTAGAAATGCAAAATTTGGGGTCCTACCCCAGATGTACTGAGTCAGAAACTCTGGTATTAGGGTCCAGCAGTTGATGGCTTAAGAAGCTCTCCAGCTGATTCAGATGCGCACTAAATTTTGAGAACGACTGCTCTAGTCTAGACCAGTGGCTTTCAAACTTTAAGGTGGATAAAAATCATCTGGAGAGCTTATTAGAACACAGTATGTTGGGGTGGGGCCCGAGAATTTGCATTTCTGATAAGTTCATAGGTGATTGTAGTGCTAGTCCAAGGACCACAGTTTGAGAACCACTGCTGTAGATCATCCAACTTTTAAATTAATGTACGCCATAGAATATTTATATACACCCCTACCTTTTTGAAGTTGATGTTTAAAATTTATTTTAAATTTAAAAAGATGTGAAGGATGTAAATTCTATCATATTGTCAATACTGACAGTTTAAAACTTCTTGCTTTTAAACATATCTAGTGGAATCAATTTTAGTGACTTAATATCCATCATCATTCATTGAATAAAAAGTACATGAATAAGCTCTTCAGCAGAAATTTTACATTTTTTTCCTCCTTGTGTTGGGTTTTCTTTTTTACATCTTCCTCAGAATTTTATTCTAAAAATTTTTTTTTTAGCACACAAACTTGAATGTGCATCAGAATTTTACTTGGAGGGTTTATTAAAGATTACTGGGCCCTACCCCCAGAATTTCTAATTCACTAAGCCTGTGGGATCCTAGAATTTGCATTTCCAGCAAGTTACCAGGTGATGCTGATGTTATTGGTTCAGGGACCAGAGTTTGAGAACCACTGGCCTAAAGTAATATTTTGTGCTTGAAAGCCATTTAAAAGAATTTGGTCCGACTTCTCTGCAACAAAAATATGCATATAAATTTCTTCTGTATTGAGTTATCATTATAGTTATTAATAGTACATAATTGATCACACCATAAATATTTTACACATTAAAAATAAATTATTAAAATGTAAAAATTAGGGGCTGGCCCCATGGCTTAGCGATTAAGTGTGCGTGCTCCACTACTGGCGGCCCGGGTTCGGATCCCGGGCGCGCACCGATGCACCGCTTCTCCGGCCATGCTGAGGCGGCATCCCACATACAGCAACTAGAAGGATGTGCAACTATGACATACAACTATCTACTGGGGCTTTGGGGAGAAAAAGGGAAAAAAAAAAAAGG